ATGGAAGTATGTGTAGGTACATGTAAAAACAATATGTGGATTCAGGTACATACATTCATTGAAACACCAATACAGATAGTCCACAGACATAACCGAACACCTTCCAAAACTGGTTTTCTGTTTGAAAACTTAGAGCCATAATCCCATGGCATAATTTAGCCAAATGGCATAACATAGTTCACAAAAATCATGATCTGAATCCTAACAAAGTAAACAGCATCTGGAGTCTCACAAGCTTGCAAGCAGCCTTCTAAGATACAACTACAGTATCTACTCACCAGAAGCAAAACATTAAGAAGGTAATCAAAAGCTCAGAGAAGAAACAAGTCTACACAAGCCACAATCTCATTTACCCTGAGACTAGAAGCACTAGATAGTGCCTGGCTACCACCACTGACTGTTCTGACTGGGTCACAATAGACGGTCTCAGAATGAGAAAATAAAGTTGAACAGATCTCAAATTAACAGATCTCATATATATATATATATATATATATATGGCAGACAAACTGAAATAGGGGAACAGACGTCTCCTTGAGACTATTGCACTGAAACATTCATTAAACCTAGAACTGAGCCTATCTCCTTAGAACACCTTTTAGCTAAATAGCAGAGGAGCACACAAAATAAAGGATATATCCCATAAGATCAGTGTTCCACTTAAAAACCATCAGTGTGAAAAAAAAAAAAAGGAGGGGTGGGGGGACGGGACCAGGTTTGCTAGTCTGACAGAGCCTGGTGGAACCACTGAGACTACGGCCCCCTAGCTGCCTTTCAGGTCTGGAATTTAACCCATACCTGTGGCTTCCAGCCAAACAAAAGACAGGCATATGAGTTTAACATTTATCTGAGGTAGATACACTCCTTGGAAAGAACAACCATGGGAGAAAGAAGGGGTGTTTATGCACAGGGAGACAGCTCAGGGGGCAGGATGCACAGACACTGGGAAGAGGTAACTATTGGGAGGAAGTGGGAGGGGAGCTGTTGCATTGTGGTAAACTGTAGTCAATGTCATGACACAAAGTGCATGTGAACTGCTGTATAGAAAGTGAATTTGCTCTGTAAACTTTCACCCAAATCACAATAAAAAAAAAAAAAGTAGAAAAATAATAAATTAAAAAAAAAACCTTCAGTATGAGACATGACCATCAGTATGAGTATGACAAAAGAGCAAGATTCAGTCAAAAGCAAAAATGAGAAGATAGGGGGCAGGGAAACTAGAGTACTGGAAATGGAACAGAACATAAGAGAATGTGGGCGCGTTCTAACAAATACAAATCATGTCACTGAATAATTTGTTCAGTTATTGCCAAATGGAAAGCTAACATACTGTGTAAACTTTCACCCAAAATTCAGTAAAATTTATTTTAAAAAGAAAGTAGCACAAGACAAAGGCTCTTATGCAAAGTGGGCTAGTGCCACCCTCTAAACCTAAAGTGCCCTATAGTCAACAGTATTCTTCACACCTAAAAGCTACTGGCCATGTACTAAAAGCTAAATTTGATTTTATTTTAAAGAATTTGAAAAAAGAATGACATTTACAATTTAAATACAGGTAATTCCCATTTTACCTTGGATTTGAGTTACAGCAAACTGCACTTAGGACTTTTATTTTTTTAAAAAACATCTTATTGTTAGTAATATGTACCATATCCAACACCAACCAAACACCGCCGTTGAGTCAGATCCGACTCATAGTGACCCCTCCATGGGTTTCCAAGGCAGTATCTCTACAGAAGTAGATTGCCCAGTCTTCCTTCGGAGGAGTGGCTGGTGGGTTTGAATCACCAGCCTTCTGGTTAGCAGTCAAATGCCTTAGAGCTCCTATGTACTATACGCAATGTTAAACTATATCTGTACGTTTATATGTAATGTTTTCAGCCCTCAAAGACAAATAAAGATTGGATATATAAAGATACTGATAATAAAAGGCAATCAAACAAAAAGTAAAAAAGAAGAGGTATTTGACTTACATCAGATCTGACTTACAGTGAAGTTGTTAATATGTGACCTTGTTTTTTTGCTTTTTTTGTTCCGATTTTTATGAGTCGGATCTGACTCAACCGCGGTGTTTGGTTGGTTTTGGATATGGTACATATTACTAACACTAAGATGTTTTTTTTAAAAAATAAAAGTCCTAAGTGCAGTTTGCTGTAACTCAAATCCAAGATAAAAGAGGAATTACCTGTATTTAACTATTTTTAAAAGTGCTTTTTATTTTTTATATGGATTCAAGTTACTGCTTAGTGTTATTTCATTTCAGCATAAAGGGCATCCTTTAGTATTTCTTGTAGGGTAGTTCTAGCAACAAAATCTCTTAGTTTTTGTGTACCTGGGAATGTATTAATTTCTTCTTTGAGTATGAAGAATAGTTTGGTATTCTTGATTATTACTGGATATAGGATTCTTGCTTTACAATATTTTTCTTTTAGCACAATGAATATGTCATCCCACTTCTTATTGGCCACTATTGGTACTGATGAGAAGGCAGTTATTAATCTTTTTCAGGATTTCTTTATATGATCAATTGTTTTCTCCCACTGCATTCTAGATTCTTTGTGTTTTGGCATTTGACATGTTAACTATGATGAGTCTAGGCATGGATCTTCTTGAGCATTTTATACTTCGAGTGCATGGATTTTTTTGGTTACGTAGATTAAGATTTATCTTCATATTTGGGAAGTTTTCAAATATTATTTATTCAAACATTTTTTCTGTTCCTTTTCCTTTCTCCTCTGTTTCTGAGAATCCCATTATACAAATATTGGTGTGCTTGATGGTGTCCCATAGGTCTCTGAGACTTTGTTCACTTTTTCCCCCTTTTCACAGACTGGATCATCACAATTGACCTATTTCAAGCTCGTTGATTCTTTCTTCTGTCAAGTAAAATCTGCTTTTCAGTTTCTCTAGGGATTTTTTTTTTTTCAATTTTATACTTTGTGACCTCAGAATTTCTATAAGGTCTTTTTAAGAAAAAAAAACCTGAACTTTTTATTTATGGTCTCAATCTGGTGAAATATTGTTTTCATAAATTCCCTTGAATTCCTTAGAGATGGTTTCCTTTCATTTTTTTTTTACATATTTGTACTACCTTATTTAATATTTTGCTTATAAATACAGTATCTAGGCATTCTCAGGGACCATCTTAATTGACTGCTTTTTTCCCCCATTATATGTTTTCATTTCTTTGCCTGTTTCATAATTTGTGTGTGGGGGAATTAGACATTTTGAAAAATATAAAGTGGCAACTTGGAGGAAAATTAGAAATTATTCCTCCCCAGGGTTTATTGTTATTTGTATTTTTATTATTATTATTGTGACTTGGATCAAAGTTTACAGAGCAAATTCACTTTCCATACAGAAGCTCAAATACACTTTGTCTCATGACAATGACTATAATTTACCACAATACAACAGTTCCCCTCCCAATTCCTCCCCATAGTTACCTCTTTCCTGTGTCCTTCCCTCCATGCACTCCTGCCCCCTGATCTGTCTCCCTGTGCATAAACAGCCCTTCTATTCTCCCATGATTCTTCTCTCCAAAGAGTGTATCTACCTAATGTAAATGTTCAGCTCATATGCCTGTCTTTGTTTGGCTGGAAGCCACAGGAGTGGGTTCAATTCCAGACCTGAAGGGCAGCTAGGGGCCATAGTCTCAGTGGTTCCACCAGGCTCTAACAGACCAGCAAACCTGGTCCTTTTATTTTTTAGTGATTTTGAATTTTGTTCCACATTGTTCCCTCACTCTATCCAGGATCTCCTACATAGATCCCCCTCCAAGTGGTTGACAGTGGTAGCTGGGCACCATCTAGTTCTTCTGGTCTCATAGTCATATAGGCTGAGGATCACATGGTGCACCAGTTGCTTGGACTAATTGTTTCCATGAATCTTTGGTTTTCTTCATTCTTCTTTTCTCTGGATGAGGAGAGACCCATCTTTGCATGTAGATGGCTACTTGCAAGCTTTTAAGATCCCAGTTGCTACTCGCCAAAGCAGGAGGTGGAATAATGCCTTGTGTAGTATGTTATACCAGTTGAGCTTGATGTTCCCTGCAACTGTGGTTCCAAGCCCACAGTCCAACTACTTGTTCCCTCTGGCTAGCTGGCTGCGGCCAAGAAGTAACTGCAACTTTGTCCCTTGTCAGCTCTATTATATAACTGGGAATTCTACAATACACTTGTAGAAACATTGTCTGCCAACCCTATACATGGTCTTAGGCACCCTCTCCCCCACATAGACATACCTAATAGTTCAGCCTGTCTACCCACCTATTACCCATATATCCATGTTTGCCTTCATTGACAACATGGTGAAGAAATTCTGAGGTCACAAAGTATAAACTGGTGACCCTGTTTTAAGTCAGGGACTACCTGTAATAGCTCCAAGTTAAGACATATGTATGACTGTCTCTGTTATTTCCATGTGATATGAAGAGATTTTTTTTATTAATTGTTTGCTATATTAACACCTTTTGACTTAATATTAAACTAAAAGACAAAGATATTTACCTGTGTTTTATTGACTATGCAAAGGCATTTGACTACGTGGATCATGACAAATTACGGATAACATTGAGAAGAATGGAAATTCCAGAATACTTAATTGTGCTGATGAGGAACCTGTACATAGAACAAGAGGCAGTGGTTCAAACAGAACAAGAAGTTACCACATGGCTTAGAAGTGAGGATGGTGAGACTTTACCTCTTGTACTTTGGACATGTTATCAGAAGAAACCAGTCCCTGTAGAAGGTTTGCTTGGTAAACTAGAGGGTCAGCAAAAAAGAGGAAAACCCTCAATGAGACCCACTGACACAGTGCTGTAACAATGGGCTCAAGCACAGCAATGATTGTGAGCACAGCACAGGACCAAGCAGTGTTTTGTTCTGTTGGACGTAAGGTTACGATGAATCAGAACCAACTCAACAGCTCCTAACATTATCTCAGCTATTTACCAATGTCTCCATCAACCAATGTTCATCTTTGGACTAATAAAAACTCACCTGAAAATGATGTTCCTATGAGAACTGATATTTTTGCCTCCATACAAAGTAGTGATCCAGGAGGGCCTTGGTCTCACACCCCACTGTTTAAAACAGTCATCAGACAATTCCTTCAAATCCCATGAGCGAGGTTCAAACATGTCATCAACACCATTAGTACAAAAGGGCATGATTATTTCTGTGCATGCCTGAAAAAGAAAATCAGGAGATGATCCAAAAAGAAAATGAGGCACAGAGAAGTTAAATACTGCCCAGGGCCATACAACTATTTAGTAGCACCAGGTTTTGAACTTAGGCAGTCTGGCTTCAAAGCCTCTGCTCTCTGCTTCTATGGCATACAACCTCTCATTGTCATAGAAAAGCTTGGCTGAAAAGTCACTGAGATTAGGACTATATATTCCTTCTTCATAAACTATTTTCTCTCACATCCATTATCATACTCAACTTTCAAAACAAATCTGGAAGGGAAATATTATTATTGTTTGTCTCACTGTGTAGATAAAGGAAGAGACTCAGGTGACTAAAGTTAGACTTCCTTCATTTATGTGTCCATAAAATGTTTCCTTATGGCACTTATAAAGATCTATTATAATATTAGTTTAGTTGTCTCTCTTTCTTACCATGTTTAATGGTGAAAAGCATTAAATTATTTAATGGTGAAAGCATATCTTATTTATCTTTGTATCTATGGAGCCTAGAACAGTGCCTGACACATAGTAAACACTCAATATATATTTGGTGATGGTTACTAAGTACATGAATGAATGAATGAGGAAACTTGTCCATGGTCTCATGGTGTAAGATGACAAAGCCCATACTGGATATAGATTAGGTGATAAAAATCTTGTATACTTTCTGTTACAGCATAACTGTATTAGTGAGAAGTAGGTTCCACATGGGAAATTATATACACTTACCTGATAACTCCAACCCAAGGATCCCAGACTGCTAGTGGCTGTTTCTGAGATATTTAGGCATTTCACCTGGCCCGAATAATTGTAATACACATTCAGAGCTTGGAAAAGATTCTGCATCAGCTGCTGATCAGATACATCGGGATCTTTCAAATACTGGCATACTACCTGCCAGAGATAAAAGGAAGACTAGTCAAAATATTAATACAAAAGTATAGTTTAATAAAACAAAAAATAATAATTTTGATTTGATCATAAAACATTTCTTAAGCATCTTGTTAAGATATTGCTTGACAATATCTATCTCTTGAGAATGATTAACTTCATAAACTATTAAAGCTTCTTAAGAGACTCTTTAGGCTACAGAAATAAACCAAAGTCCTTTACATGGTATGCAAGTATGCAAAGTCCTCCCTGCCTACCCCTCAAGTTTCATCCCCTACAACCTCTGAGCCAGTCAAGCAAAGCCATTCCCCACCACACCAAACTCTTTCCCTCCTCTTTGCCGTTGCTCACTCTGACATTCCTTCTTCCCTCCAACTCCACTAATGTCTGGAAAACACCAACTTATCTTCCACAACACTCAGCTCAAGTATCACCACGTCTATTAAGCCTTCCTTATCAATGTCACCAACTCAAGAAGAACAAACCACACTTCTTTGTGCCCCCATACTACACTATGCCTACTTCTAATTGGAGTTCCTATGTAATAATGAATTTGGCTGGCCTTTGTCCCAGTGCTGCACTGCATTCATTTGATTCCAGAATGTCTCCCTCAACACTTACCAAGGTTTCTGACAACTAAATGTTTGCTGAATGAATGACTACATTTTTATAAATATACAAAACTTATAAAATTCCTTATGGAAAAACTACACCAAGCTCTAATCTCTGTGGTATGATAAGAAGTATATCGGGCAACTTCCCAGCTCTCAAATATCCTAACCCCACCTTATAGTCAATGCTGAAATTCTAGCACTGAAAATCAAAAGCAGTAGCTTAACAGTAACAGCAGCAACAAAAGTAATAGATGCTAATTATTCAGTTTACAATTACGGTTTACAACCATTCTGTGACTTGATTCTCAAATAGACTAATAAGGTACATTATTATCATCCGCTATTTTACATGAAACTGGTTAAATCACTTTAGTCAAGGTCACTCATGGAGTAAGCAGCAGGACTTAGATTTAAACTCAGGTCTCTCTGGCTACAAAACAAACATTTTATCCTTTATGTTATGTAAGTAAGGAAGTATCCTGTGAAAAACTGCAAAGAGCTTTGTGGGAAGGTTAAGACATTAAGCCATCATCCTCTATGAACATCTTAACATGAAGTCAGTAATCTAGTCCTTTCCCATTTCATATGGAAAACACATGTAACACAGGCAAGTTCTGAGAAAGCAAACCAGAGAAGAAGGAACCAGAAAAGAAGGAGGTATAATTAACTCACCTCTGGTGGCATAGTGTCTAAGGCACTTGACTGCTAACCAGAAGGCTGGTGGTTCAAATCCACCAGTCACTCCTTGGAAGGAAGATTGGGCAATCTACTTCTGTAGTGATACTGTCTCGGAAACCCAAGGAGGGGTCACTATGAGTCAGATACAACTCGACAGCAGTGAGTTTGGTTTTGTTTAGTTCTTGGTAGATAGAGATTCCGCGAGCAGAAATTACAACAGGGCCGGACTGAGGACATGTTCCCAGTCAGGAAAGGATGGCACTAAGAAAGGGGAAGAGCAGCTGGGAGCAGACTGGCCACTCAACACAGCTCTGCCTAGCACCAGCTTCCAGCAACACCCTTCAAAGAAAAAAAGACAACTTGAAAAGACAGAAAAAAAATGATCATAGGGAAAATTCAAGGCCTTTCTCCAAATATATTCTGCACAAAAATATTTCTATGGAATGTTAATTGATACTTTGCAGGGGAAAGAAAAGGTTTCATAGTCAAAATAATCTTAGGAAATGCTGTGTGAACAAATGTGAACAGTTTTCTTGACTGCAGAATGTCTCAGAACTTTTAACATCTTAACTGTAATGTAACTTTCCAAAAGAGAAATTTAAGTTTCAGAAATGTTCAATGTGAGAAAGTCAGAAATTAAGATGTTCAAGTAGCTGGATATACCTTTAAAAAGTAACTGTGAGCTCACAGAACAAGGTATACTAGAGTTCGTTGTTGTTGTTTTTGTGTCATTAAAGGGAAAAAAAAAAAAAAAAAACCTCACTGCCATCAAGTTGAATCCAACTCATAGCGACCTCTCCTTGGGTTTCTGAGGCGGTATCACTACGGAAGTAGATTGCCCAGTCTTCCTTCTGAGGAGCAGCTGGTGGGTTTGAACCACCAGCCTTCTGGTTAGCAGTCAAATGCCTCAGGCACTATGCCATTTGTGTCATTAAGTACCATCAAGTCAATTTTCGACTCGTGATTGCCCCATTTAACAGAGTAGAACTGCCTTATAGGGTTTTCTAGGCTGTATTCTTCATGAGAGCAGATTGCTAAGTCTTTTGTTCCTGCAGACCCTCTGGGTGGATTCAAATCGCCAACCTTTCAGTTAACAACTTAGTGCTTAACCTTTGTACCATCAGGGCTCCTATTCCTGGGTTTAGGATGTACATGAAGAAACTTCCTAACATTCAATTAGATTAAGAGCTTCACAAACCTATCAGGCCTGACAAACTAATGCACTGCCGTGGAGTAGGATCGAACCATAGTGACCCCTCCTTGGGTTTCCGAGGCAGTATCACTATGGAAATAGATTGCCCAAACTTCCTTCTGAGGAGTGGCTGGTGGGTTTGAACCTCCAGCTTTCCGGTTAGCAGTCAACTGCCTTAGGCACTATGCCACCAGAGCTCCTATCAATCCTTATTGCTATCCTGAAGCAATAAGGAAATGTAAGTTGAAGAAAACTTAAAAGGCAAAACAGTGATTTACTACTATTCTGAAAACTCTCAATTATTCATGGTAAGTTAAAAAATTTCTAATTGTTGCGGAGCACTTTTAACAGAAAATATTCCTAAGAAATATGTCAATCAGAAATACTCAAGGAAATACAGAAATCAAGACCCAATCATGTAATTTACTATGTTGTTGTTGTTGTGTGCTGTCGAGTTGGCCCCAACTCATAGCGACTCCTCCTTGGGTTGCCAAGGCAGTATCACCATGGAAGTAGATTGCCCAACCTTCCTTCCAAGGAGTGGGTTTGAGCCGCCATGCCTTAGGCACTATGCTACCAGAGCTCCTGTAATTTAATATACTACCTATTATAACAGTTGATCAGCATCCCTTCCTGAATCTGGACACTAACAGTGGGCTCAGCTATTTCAAAATGCAACACAAAACTTCAGTGTGGACACACGGAATGCAGAGAAGAGCATCCTGTTCAAGCACAGCATGGTAGATGACACAGGGTGACAAAGTGAGCCAGACTGGGGGAACACGGGGGACTGATGTACACCACCAAGTGGTCTAAAACTCTGGAAGAGAACAGTAGCAAGTGAGAGTGACTCACATGCTGGCACCAGAGCCCCTCTGACAGCTAGAACACTGAGCTTCTGTCAAGCAAAGAAAAGGAGCCCCCATGAATAGCCATTTCTGCAAATAGCAGTTACTGTCACTGATTAAAAGACACAAGCACGGCTGAGGACTGGCACTGGCTGATAATACTTGGGCTTCGGCACCCTCAGTTACACAGAGAGGACATCATGGTCCAAAACTTCAGCTCTCCTGATAGAAACACCAGGCCCCAATCAAAGGCCATGCTGGGCCCACTGTCTCTGTGCAGTCAGATCACCCTCAGAGCACAAAGTTCAGTTCCACGTCTTTAAGAAACACACAGATCAGCCTGAGAAAATCCAGAGAAGAACAATTTGGATGGATATTTGAGAAATACTTGAAGCAACCCTAAAACTGGTCATTTGGGTCATTTCTAATCTTTCACTTTTACAAATAAGGCTACAATAAACAGTCTTGGAGCTAAATCTTTTTAAAAAAGGCTTCTTCTAAACAATTTCTATAGAAGGCATACCATTCCTACTTATGCCATAAATACACCAATTTGGGGCACCTGGAGTTGCTGAGGCCACTAGTATAACTATTAAATGTTCCTTGAGGACAGGTGCTTTCTCACCAACTCAAAGAAGCAACATATAATGACCATTCCCATTTTGCAGAGGAGAAAACAAGTTCAGGGAGATACTCAATTAAAAAACTGAGACTGGTGGAACCTCTGAGGTTATGGCCATTTGTAACTCTTCAATCCTAGAACTAGAGTTAACCCCAACTTTCAGCCAAACAACAGACAGGCCTATAAGGGGAACAATAACACCAAAGAGGTACACACTCCTTAGAACAATCAACAACACAAGATCAAAAGGACAGCACTTGCCCAGGGATAAAACTCAGAAGGCAGGAAAGGATAAGAAAGAAGAATGGATGGAAATGGTAAACACAGGGAGAAAGTGGGAAAAGTGCTGTCGTAATGACTGTAATCAATGCCACAAAACGAAATGTGTATGAATATTGAATGGAAAATCAATTTGCTCTGTAAAGTTTCACTCAAACCATGATAAAAAGTTAAAAACAAAACAAAATTGTGAACATAGGCTTAAAACCCAGACTTTGTCTGATCACAAAGTTCTGATCTAACAATCTGCCTCCTTGATATTATATAATAATAATACACCTAACTCCTCACTTATCAACTATCTTGTTATCCACCCCTTCCCATTTATAATGATAGTAAAAAATCGATTATCTGACTATTTTGTGCATTAATGATGTACGTTTGGCAGTAAATGCATGGATTTTGACCAGCAGACTACATGTGCACGTAGAAAGGAAGCTCATATTGCACAGAATTTCACTGCCTGGGAGGGGAGAGGGGCTGTGGTCTCCTTGAGCTGCTGGAGTGCAGAGCACAGCAGAGCAGAGGAAGGGACTACAGTGGAGCTAGTGGGATTAGGACACTGCCTAGTAGGTCCTACAGGGAGCTGAGGCTGGGGCAGCAGCAGCTAGTGTCCTAAAAGTGAGCTAGCCTTGGGGTTGGGGAGGAAGTGGGAGCCTGGGGCCTGGCCCCAGCTTCTAGCCCCAAGGGGCAGCAGGGATGGGCACATAAGACTCCATGTTAGCTGACCAGCACTATGTAGCCCCTTACACTTCTTTCATGTTCCCTCC